GAGAGAGAGAGAGAGAGAGAGAGAGAGAGAGCTGGTGACTGGGTGATTGGGTGGGGTTAGGGGTAGGGAAGGGGGGGGGGTGGATATTAAAAAAGTGTTGAAAAAGAAAAAATAAGGATGCAAGCCCTAACAAATTCCTTTTCTAATTTTGAGGAAATCTGAATTTTTTGCGCAATTTTTTTATCCAAATCAAAAAGATGAATTGGATATTGTTTTAGTGAGTTTTCAAATCAAACGAGTGAAGCATTCCCTTCATGGTGTTTTTACGCTCAAAAATAGTCTACACTGTGGATTTGGAATCCTCCCCGTAAAATATTAGTGAATAAAAAAAGGCCCTAATTAAATGCTAGTGTCCTAGAGTGTTGTTTTCCATTTAAAAGTATTAAATGTATATGTAACGTTCTGTTACTAAGAGAATGTATAAGAACAAGTTTCTTACGATATGTTATTTATAATAAATGCACATACATGCACACTTTTCATTTTGCTAAAGGACTTTTAAATACCAAAGCCCTAAGAAGGCATGTAATAAACATGTAATAACAACAACAGCAAAAAAGGAAAAAATATCAAGACTGCAAAAATAAGGAAAAATAAAGTTTATTTAAAAATAGGAAAAAAATAGCTTTGTCCCAAAATAAGACAAGATAGGAGCTTGATGTCCAGTTAAAAATGGAAAAAATTGTCAAAATGTTTAACAATTTTCAACTAAAGGCCTACATGTATCTGGTATCCAGTGATGTGCCCATTCAGGCATTAAAAAAACTTATTTGATAAGTAAATGCACAGAGCCTGTAAAATTAATTGTACTTCTAAAATAAAATGGATAAAATAAAGACTTTTTATTACAGCAAAACAATATTACAACTATATCCATATAAATATCACAAGTTTTCACATTTGTCTCAAATGTGCAAAACAACACATTTTAAACACGATTCCAGTGTGCTTGGATGGTTTAATTCATCACATTAACAAATGGTATATTATATTAAAATAAACTGTCAAATAAATTGTACAATAATGGAATCATTGATATTAAAGAAAAATATTTTCAAATAAAATGTTGGAGAATAATACACATCCTTTTCTTGGATAATATAACAGTTACTGCCCAGAAAGTTTAAATGTTTATTTTTTTGTAGATCCAGATCATTTGCATTCTTTTAATATCACTTTTGCTCAAGCATACATAATGTATCTAATTGAATATCATAGAATATCACACAGTAATCAATATACTGATATACAGGAAGAAAAATAGTGCCAAATAAAATATCCGAGTAAGCAATACATAACCTTTTTTGGAGGGATGATATAAACAGGTTACTGGCCAGTAAAACATTAAAATGTTCATTTTCTCATAAATCTAGATCACTTTTGCACTCTTCTATTCTACCCAAGCATCCAAGACATACATGATGTATTGAATAATTGACATCTTTCTGCTTCAGTATCCTAAAAATTTTCTTCATAGAAAGAAAAGGAGGCTGAAGAAGTCTTGTTGACATGGGAGCAAGCTGCGGACACACTGTTAGTCAAGGCAGGAGGACCACAAGCAAATACACCAAATTTATGGACCTGGAGAGAGACGATATAAAAATAAACCACTTATGTCTTGCTAAATGAAGAAAATATGGCACAAAAATTAATCCAACAATGATATGCATGTTGTTGAGTGATATTTCACATTTTACATTATGGTAACAAAATGTACAAATATATTCATTTTTAATTTGTGAAGATAAACACTACATTATGGTAACAAATATATTCATTTTTAATTTGTGAAGATAAACACTACATTATGGTAACAAAGAATGAATCAGCAATTAATATAATAAAGAAAAAAACATAATATTTTACACCATACTTTAAAGCAGAGTTTTCTTACCTTGGGCCATTGTAAGGAGATATCTCTGATCACTTTCTGAAAATCTGGTCGTCCAAAGTTTGTGGGTGCTTTGAGCCCTGTGAACAGACTTCTCTCTGAGATGCTCACAAAGTGTTTCTCACACAGAAACTAAAAGAATAAAATATTCCTGATAAGGCAAAAATAAATTGACAACTAGTAAAGCTTTAACTAAAAAGACGAGAAAGACTATCTCCCTCATTTTTGTTGTCATGGAACTAACATAATTCTGCAATGAGAGAGAGAGAGAGAGAGAGAGAGTTTTGTCTATGCTTTAAATTGGAAACACAAGAAATAAATCAGCAGGAATTATATATTTTTTAATCTTAAACTAAAATAGAAAATGGAATTCAAGGAAAATATTCACCATCATCACAGTTCTCAAGTCGAACTTTCCAAAAAATTGAGTGACAAACACGTTGACTGTCACCAAGTCATCAAAGTCACTTTCTTCCACTTCACGAATGATATCTATCATCCACTCAAACTGACGCTGGTTTTGGGTTACCCAAAAGAAATAGATCTGAAAAATTAATAAAGAAAAATTACTTGCAAAACTGGGATATTTTTATTTATTTAATATTTCTAAGGAAATATTACTATGATATTTTCCATTTGTGATACTTTAAACATAATTAGTCTACATTTAATACTATTTTCTTTTAAGATATGAATATGATATTTTCCATTTGTAATTCCTAAAAATTTAATCTACAGTAAATCTTACTTAAAAAAAAAGAGGTAGTCAGACATGGTGCTTCAAACCTCACCTTCTTGCAGTTGATTTTGGCCTTTATAGAAGCGAGATAGGACACATGTTTCAATATGGCAGCAAAGGGGGTCACTCCAATACCCCCGCCCACTAAAATGGCTACTTCGTACTTGGACCAATCTTCAGACACTCCCCCAAATGGACCATCAATGTACATCTAAAACATATACAACATTTTGTTTTTGGTGTATATCACGTAATTAACTATTGTTAATCATAAATGTCAGGAAATTAACTTTGTAAAATAAAGAGTTGAAATGAGATAAAAAGTTGTCATTTTCTCCAAATTTTTAACTAAAATGGTACAGCTGGATTACTACTGAAGATCATTTATATTGAGTTCAATTTTGATCCACTAAATTATTATCATACTTGTAGTTGTACGTTACTTAATGTAGTAGTAAATTATTTGTAAATATTCCAACTGAATGAGCAAGAACCCCTGATCTCACTCATGGAGTTGCTCCAGCATATTAATTGTTTTTGAGCCCAATTTTAAATGGTTTCTTTTTCACCAAATATATATACCCAAATCAGCTTTTTTACACTTAATCAATTTAGAAATTTAACCATCCCAAAAAATAAATAAACAAATTAATTAATATAAACAAATTTGTTAATTAAAAAGCAAATAATTGCAAATTTTAATGTGGTACCTTTGGATATGGTCCCTCTCTCAGTCTCTCTGGGTCCATTAACTGCCTAAGCTGGGTGGTCCATGGTCCAACAGCTCTGATATGGAATGCGATCACATCTTCGTGCTCAGCTGCGGTGATGGTGAATGGGTGGTACTCGTTGTCTCCATGGCCAACAATGGCGATGCGTGCCCACTGGCCAGACTTGTTCTTAAAGGTTCGGGGCTTCCTCAGGGTGATATGTGTCACATCTTGGAAAATATAAAACTTCATTAGCTATCCTTATCTCCTATAGAACTTATGTTTTTATAGTTTTATAGTATGAGGTATTTTAGTATGCAAAATATCAAAATTTATCGGCTATCCCTATCTGCTATACAACTTAAGTTTTTATAGTTTTATATATAGTATGAGGTATTTTAGTATGCAAGCAAGAATTTGTGGCCTGCCCCTTACCCACCCTACCCCACCCCACCTTTAGAAAAAAAAACAAACTTACTAGAAGGTAGGTGCTCTGCCTTCAGCACAGTGACAGGAACACTCTTGTTGCTGATACTGACCAACTTGTCCAATGCAAACAACAACATAGGGCCAAGATAGAAGTAATAGAACCAAGGATCCTGAGGAAGAAATTATCATATTTTATGGTTACGTACTTGAATGTGACGGACACCAAGCATCTCTAAAGAAAAAACTTGTTGTTGTTCAAGGCTATATAGTCTGGGAGTAATTCATTCTACTATCAAGCTTCATTCATACACACTTTAAAGAATATTCACACCATAATCAAACAAATAATGCAAATGATAAAAAATTCAGTGTGGTTCTGTGGAATTCTTCACGGCTTACCTGAACCAGCACTGCACTGCCGTGTAGTATGATGAGAGCGTACAGCAGCACATAGAGGTTGTGGACAGTCCAGAACGCAGTGTACACCTTTTTCCTGGCCCAGGGGGTGGCAAACACTATCATCAGGGTCAGGAGGACCACCAGGACCACCCCAGTGAGTCCTGTGACTGTCTGGAACAGGTAGAACCCAAATGTTGGCAGGTAGTCCGACCTGGAATGGATAGAATTGATTGCTATAAGTAGGCCCCTATGCTGGTCATACATGTAGGTGTTCTAATCAGAATCTGAGGAAGTCAGCAATCCATTATAATAACCACAGCAAATCTTTTTTTTTCAGTGGAGCCTTTATTCGTTTGTAATTATTTCTTATGAAGTAATCAAGTTATTGGCCAATATGGATTTTTCAATATAGATAACAAGCTGTATCCAATATATTATACTGATACTATATGATACTCTTGCAGTCTAAACATTGGCCTGTTCACTTAAACTTAGTAATCTACAGAATCAAAAAGTCTAGTTCTGCCCCTTTCATATGTACCTGAACCAGATGGTATTGGAGAACACACAGCCCACAAAGTCAGGAGGTTGAGTTGACAGGTGGTAGAAATTGATACAGTGGCCAATGGTATGTCCCACTGAAACAGAAATTAAACCTATTTCTTCACATTTATAATGGTAGAATCACTAGCAAAAGTATGCTATAAAGAACAAAACAATAATTAACTACTTTGATGTTTCAGATGGCTTACTCTTCAAAAATGTCTTTTTGATTTTGCAAATATGCAGTTTTTAAACTTTTGATTTTTTGCCAAACTTTTAATTGAATTGGGTCACATAATATAAAACTTGAATTTGAAACACCACCTGAGTGTCAACTTACAAGCTATAAATGTGGATGTGTATGCAGAAACCTTGTGAAAGCCAAAAGCAGCATCAAAGGGCACATAGTTATTGACCCAAGTGGTTCTCAGCAAGTTCATGGTGTTCTTGCACATAGTCAGCAGAACCACAGAGAAAGTAAAGGACATTGAGGATGCAGCACCCCGCGTGACACTGATCCCATACCCTGCCATCCTGCGCAGACCTTTGGCCTCGTTTAACACAGCATAGTCTGAAACAGTGGAACAGCATGAATATGGAGTACATCATCCAGGGTTCATATTTATATTTTGATTTTTTATTCCCCCTTGAGATAAAAAAAACATAGAGTCAAATCTTAACACTGGAAATGATCTAATGGTTGGTATAATTACTTAAGATCAAGGGTCAACAAATTAAAGCCAAATACCCTTTTAAAATACTTAAATTTATATTTTCATGAATTGAATGTTACCACTTTTTACTGTTCTTTAACTGAGAATATACATAATTTAAAGAAAGGATATATAATCTTATAATATATTAATAATGTTATACAAATGTGTTTGAAGAAAAAGGGACACTTTTTCAAAACTCATAATTCAGGTGCCATATGAATGTTAATGATTCCTGTCTACAGTATATAAGACAGCATACTTACAGTAAGATCTTTCCACAAAAATTGCAATGGTGATGAGGAAAAACAAAGCCAAATAGAAGATGTGAAGGAAATTATTCTCCACAAATTTCTGAAAGGTTATAAAATGTTTCTTGACTCCTGTGGGTGCTTTTGCAGTGTCTGTCTCAACCTTCAGCTTTTCTGCAGACCTGATGAAGAGGACAATTTCAAACCTCATCACTGACATATTCCAAATTAAAATATCTCGGCACATTCTAAATATAAAATCTCAGGCACTAACAATATGCCATATGGGAAAGGAGTTTATATACCATGTATTATAAATAAAACGACGGTGAAGACAAAACAAAAAGATGGATAAAGTTTGCATTTACCTAGGTCTACTGACAGCAGATGCTGGTCTTGATGCTGCTTCCTTCTTGGCAATTTCAGATTTCAGCTGGCCTCCAGACAGGTTGACAACTGAAAAATATAAATTTAAAATCACTACATATTTATTCCACAGAAGTTTATTCAAGAAATATTTATCTTACAGCTAGTATTAAAGCACTGGTATCTACTGGGTATAAACATAAAAAGCATGCTATATACAGTGTATATCAAATTCACCACAGAAGATCATGAAATAAGAAAAACAATAGGCTGTAACTTATATTGAATATTTTTCCCCTCACCATCTTTTTCCTGAGTAAGCATTGTTTTGAAGTCTTCAAATGTCAGCTCCTCTTTGTTTTCAAACCCTCCAGCAGCAAACATTCCTTCTAGCAAGACATTCATCTCTTCCTCACTTAAACTGCTATCTGTCATCTCAATCATAGACCTACAAATGCATTTGAGTCCTGTTATTCCAGTTTATGGTAGGTAGTTTACGCACAATGTCTCTGTAACAATGTTTCTCTCATGGGGTATTTGTATATCTTGATTTTACCAAATCTAAGCCTTTTTACTGTTATCATATCAATGACAGTACCAATACTCACCTGAGCAATGCTGTGAATTCTCCTCTGTCCATGGTACCGCCCCCATCCAGGTCATACATATCAATGACAGTACCAATACTTACCTGAGCAATGCTGTAAATTCTCCTCTGTCCATGGTACCGCCCCCATCCAGGTCATACATATCAATGACAGTACCAATACTTACCTGAGCAATGCTGTAAATTCTCCTCTGTCCATGGTACCGCCCCCATCCAGGTCATACATATCAATGACAGTACCAATACTTACCTGAGCAATGCTGTAAATTCTCCTCTGTCCATGGTACCGCCCCCATCCAGGTCATACATATCAATGACAGTACCAATACTTACCTGAGCAATGCTGTAAATTCTCCTCTGTCCATGGTACCGCCCCCATCCAGGTCATACATATCAATGACAGTACCAATACTTACCTGAGCAATGCTGTAAATTCTCCTCTGTCCATGGTACCGCCCCCATCCAGGTCATACATATCAATGACAGTACCAATACTTACCTGAGCAATGCTGTAAATTCTCCTCTGTCCATGGTACCGCCCCCATCCAGGTCATACATATCAATGACAGTACCAATACTTACCTGAGCAATGCTGTAAATTCTCCTCTGTCCATGGTACCGCCCCCATCCAGGTCATACATATCAATGACAGTACCAATACTTACCTGAGCAATGCTGTAAATTCTCCTCTGTCCATGGTACCGCCCCCATCCAGGTCATACATATCAATGACAGTACCAATACTTACCTGAGCAATGCTGTAAATTCTCCTCTGTCCATGGTACCGCCCCCATCCAGGTCATACATATCAATGACAGTACCAATACTTACCTGAGCAATGCTGTAAATTCTCCTCTGTCCATGGTACCGCCCCCATCCAGGTCATACATATCAATGACAGTACCAATACTTACCTGAGCAATGCTGTGAATTCTCCTCTGTCCATGGTACCGCCCCCATCCAGGTCATACATATCAATGACAGTACCAATACTTACCTGAGCAATGCTGTGAATTCTCCTCTGTCCATGGTACCGCCCCCATCCAGGTCATACATGTCAAACATTAGACGCATCTTGTCATCTTCAGAACCTGATCATATCATTAAACAATCATCTTTAACTATCATGATATGGTACAAATATCTAACAATCTAATAAATCAGTTTTAACAATTATGCAAAAACTATCAAAAAGACTGTGGCATATGTTGCATATTTAATGGTTATTGTTTTTACAGAAATATGAGAAAATGAAACAAAAATATTCAAGCAAATTTCAATTATTTACAAATCATAAAAATGTTTTTTTTTTTCATATTACACACTTCTGTGGCTTATGGACAATATTCTTCTTATTCATTGCTAACCTTTAGACAGCAGAACCAAGACATCTAAAAACTCTCTGAAAGAAATGTAGCCATTTCCATCTTTGTCCACCATATTGAACATTTGATCCACAAACATGGAATCTGGCTTCAGTACCATGGCCTCTGCAAATTCTTCTCTCGACATTTCCAAGTCAAATATATTCTTCAAGTCTGCATTGTTTGTTTGCTTCTGCTTGTTATCATCTTTGGAATAAACCTATAACAGATACCATAACCTTATGAAAGAGATCAAGTTTATCAGACATATTGAAATGAGGTATGCATGTAATAAAAAATGACTAATTTGGCATTTGGTCCAAAATTCCACGTGAAAAGTTAAATTGTTTAAACAATTATCAATAACACCAATTTATAACTCTTTCCTCTAGAATGATCAAAATGTAGATGTATTTCCTGCGCCTGGATTACCTGTGCAAAAACATGATGCAGAAACTTTTCTACTTTAATTTTTCTTCTTTCCTTGGTTTCAGCTTCTGCATAAAGCTGTTGCAATGGTAGGAATGCAAGCTCTTCCTTCACGTTGCATTCTTTTAAAAATGTCGTCATCATAGCTGACAACCTCTCTCTTTTTTGCTCATCAGAAAACTGAAGAACCTGAAGCAAAAAACAATCAGCATTATTTTAAATTCTAGGGAAGAAAATGAAATGTACTCTTCACATACAAATTTTCCCAGTGTGAAAATAAACCGAAAAGTTAAACACTAGGTTATTACGACACAATTATGTAGGTGTTTACATTTACTTGTATTTTACTTTTGGGTTTAAAACTCTAAATAATAATAATAACAATCAGAGAAGTACTTCCCCATCACTACATCATATCTTTTGTTATTCTTGCATATTATTACGTTATTATTATTATTATTACGTAATACATGTTAAAAATTTGAATCAAGCTTTTGTAAAGCAGTAGCATTAATTTTTTCTAAATCAATAACTGATTTTGCTCAATTTTCAAAATTAGGCAAAAAGAGTAAGCCCTGGATACTAGATTCACTCTGCTTATAAATCAGCATACCACGTCATATTCTTTAGGAAAGTGCAGGCAGATCACTCGGCCTCCGTTTTCGTTGGATATTTTAGATATGACAGCCCCATTCTTCACCACATCAACTGTCCTATATGTTTTACCAGTGACTGGATCCTTCACCATGACCAGCCCCTTGTGAAGTTCGATAGCCACTGTCATGGGGCTGTTGCTTCCTCTCCACTGAGTGGCTGAAAAAGTTGTTACCAATAATGGTGGACTGTTTGGTTTCATGCAATTGGTTCCGTCATTGACAAAGTGTGCAAAAGAAATGTAGTCCTAAAAATTCAGTCACATTTGGGAAATTTTTCTACATTCATTTATTTAAAGTTTGGAGTCTTCTCTTTTTACAAAACTTTATTGTTTAAACTAATCAAGTGTAATCTAAAAATAAGAAAAGGTTCCATTATAAGAGAGTCCAAATGAAATTGATCTGATATTATGCATAATGCACATAAAAATTACCTATTATATTCTCCCCTTCCTCAATGCTGTCATCTAACTGAACAGCAACTTTGTTATTCTTCAGACTGGTCTGATTTCTCCGATTTTGTATCTTCTTACATGCATGCAGTACAATTACCAACCCGGCAAAACCTGTAAAGATTACAGAGAGATTCTGCGTCAAATTGTGGAGACATACACGCACATGCGGGCAATTACACATGCACACATGTATAGACACATATGAATATTTGTTAATTTCTTCCCCACAGTGAAGATTTTTTCATAGGGATTACTACTTAAAATTCTTTTTGTTTAATTTGTCAGCTTCTGTTCTCAATCTCAAACAACAAATCATATGCTGCTGGTGGTTATGTGATATGAGTAAATATTTCTATTTTCTATTTTACTTTGTACATGTATTTGGGATGTAGATACATGTAAATAATTATTCAATATGTTACAACCTTAATGAAATTATGAATACTACATAATATCGAAAGTAACTTTTTACAGCTACTTACAAAATGGCAGAAGTCCAATAAGAATGATCACCAAAATGTACACCACTTCACTTCCAGTAAAGAAGTCATGGGTCAAGTTATCATTACACTGTGCCATATCACTGATATTCAGCTGTTTTGGCTGGGGACAAGGGTCACCTTGAAATAATAAATAAATTATTTTCACATCTGTATACTTTTTTAATACTGTGTCATACATGTTTACCAAATACCAAAATTTACTTAATTACAAAATTCCTTTTTTTATATTCAGATTTCATCATTACACTTTTGCATATACTGGCAAATGATCAAAAAAGGACATTTGGTAAAATGAAAAAATTGGTTGTTTACCCTCATTCCAAAAGAAAACATTTCTCTGAATCTCTCCAGGTTGGATGTTTGTGACTTTTAGAATGACGTCATACAGTGTGGTGTTCTTAATTTGTTCAATCTCACTGGAGTTAAATAATCTGGAATAAAAGAAACAATGTGACAAATGACTCGATCACTGCTTGATGTAATTTATAACATAAATACGTACAACATGGACAATGAAATCTAAGATAATCATGATCAAGCTTGCAAACGTCGTCCTTTTAGAATATGAAAAAAAGACATCTTTTTGAATAGGCATAAATTGATTAATGATTAAAAATGATTTCACCACAATGATTTCATTCTTATTATATATATTATCATATCTGATTTTCATTTGAACAAATAATAATTTTGATGAATGTTTCTAAAGCAATAATGACTTTATTACCCATTCTGTGTATTTTCAAACCAGAACCTGTCACCATCTCTGATCCTGGTGAAGTGATCTGTGACCACTGCCAGAAACAGCTCCCCCAGAGGACGGTCTGGCTGGCTCTCGTAGAGCCCCGCCACAAAGATATCCATCTTGTCTATATTATCATTGTACGCAGTCTTCAAGTTCTCCAAAGCCTAGAGGAAAAAACACGTCTCAAATCTACATGTATTCATTAACTCTTTCATCTACAAATCCACTTACATTCTATCTATCTATCCATCTATCTATCAATCTATAATGAATTCATACACCCATCTTTGGGCCATCAATATTAGCTTTTTCATCCAGTCAGTTACTAAGGGCGCATTCCCATAGATTTTAGATAGATCTATCCCCGTGGGGAGTCTCACTAGATTACTGTCAGATAATCTGGCTTAAATGTCCGTCCCGCCTACTACAAGCTGTAAGGGGGTAATCAACTTTCGTGCCCGCTCGGCTGACAGCTATTTAGCGTGAACTCCCAGGGAGTTAGGTCGATCTAGTTGGATCGATCTAACCTCTGGGAGTGGGGTCTTATATAAAGATACTCATTTATTTAACCATCGTATTTTAAAGTAGGTAGGGAATCTATCTTTGCATTTTGAAGTAAGTGGGGATTCTCAAAAACAGCAACCTTAAAATAGATCGCAATTACATGTCTGTCATGTCGACAGGGGGGTAATGGTGCGGGGGTGTCGGTGTGGGACGTATATAGGGACATGTACATTTGTAGCCGTTACCTGTGGGTCTTGCTGGTAAAGCCAGGGGTTGATCTGGGAATAGTTTGTCACTGCAGCTAGGCCAAAGGCCTTCCTGGCAGTGTTGTAGTCAGGGAGGCCATTATCTCGACCGCGCATTATGTTCAGGGTGCCCAGGTCTCGCCTTGAGTGTTGGATGGGACCAAATACCAAGCCTGGAATATAAGAATGTGGTACAGATTATACTGGTAAACATATAGAACACACCTTCATATAACACATACCTTCATTTCTGATTGTGCAAAATTATATGAACCCTGTTTTCCACCCCTTATAAGTATGAATATATGTAACATATGTATGTATGTGTTCACACAAAAAAAAAAAAAAAAAAAAAATCACAAGACAAATTGAAAATTCACAAATAATGAAATTGCAATTTATATTGAAAATGTAATAGCGCACATGGAATGCTTTTGGATTTATGCTGAACTCTTGGTCACTGTAATTTTCAGACTTCATATATCCAAAATTATCAACAACTATTTGTAACAGATTTAAATGGAGCTCTTATAAAATCCATTTTCATTCGTTTCGCGACATAAACAACTCTGTACATGTACCTCTGACGTCATCCACTAAGATGTGGTCCTCTCTCTCTGTGATCTGAGACGCCATCCCCAGTAAAACCGGCTCCAAGCCAAATTCAAATGGTTCCTGGAGTGAGGAATAAATGCCATTTACTTTCTAAACTATCATACTCTGTTGTTTTTATGCCTCGATATGATGACTTGGACCAGAAATGATATTATAATAAGAAGAAGAAGTAAGAGAGAGAGAAGAAAAAGAAGAAGAAGAGGAGGAGGAAAAAGAAGAAGAACAGCAACAAGCAATAAGTAAATAAAAAGTTCAGTCTTATTCCCACAGCAACGAAAATAAGTAAATAAAAAGTTTAGAGTCTTATCCTCACGTCGCCATGCCACCATATATTACACATTCGAACAGCAGGATATCCAGGGTTGGTCGTGTTGGTGGTGGTGTTGAAAAAATTGCACTGCGCATCTCTAAAATATGTGAAAAACAAATAACGTAAGATAAAAATGCATTCTTTTTCATTAAGGAAAAAGCAAGGTAATTAAAATTTAAAAGTTTTTCGAATCTCTGTTTAGTAAAAGGTTAAGGATAATCTGTACTGTAAGTTGTGTGTCGTATTGAGAAACAAACAGTTGAGTGAATAAAGAGAAATTGTGAAATTAGTTCAATAGATAAGCTATTCGTTTTTCTGTGCATGATCATTTTTTTCTTTTTACATTCATCTTAAAATACATGTCATCATCACTAACGTTTTACCTTCTATAGAAGCCAGGTGGTACCACTGAGTGCCCAAATCTGAAAGCTGCTGACTGGAATATATGGCTGACTGCTGGATAAACGTGCTCTTTATACCCTGAAAAATATTTAAAAGTTTGTTCATAACACAAAAAAGTCCAGTTATCTTGAAAAAAAAAAAAAAAAAAAAAAAGAGCATACCAGTTTATAAATATTCCACAAATTTCGTTATTATCAGTCGGCCTTTTTGAAGCGTGCAGACCTCGTTCACATTGTTTAAACATAGCATTTATTCCCACGCAAGTTTCATATATTTTATCTGTGTTCGTGCTTGCTATTGAACATCTTATTCTTGCCGCAGCACAGTATTCATGAACTTACCAGAGTATGCCGGGAGATCTGTATTTGTAAATGCTGGGAAGAACTCGTAAGCGTAAATGTTCTAAAAAAATACAAGGCAAAAGAAATTGCTTAGCACGGAAAGTCCAATTTCTGGTTTTGAACACCATTTAACAAAGATACAATATTTTCCTTGGTTTATACATGTGTTTCTTCTGGTTTACGACAGGAACACAAATTAAACGTTATTTACTCCTAATAACAAGGTACATCTTCTCAGTTCCTTTCCTGTAATTTTTGATTGGCCACTGCAATAGCAGAATTGGTTTTAATGTTCGATTTTTACGAAATACTATCCTACTGGTATATGTAGCCCGTGTTACCTGCTGTGTGGCTATGACCCACTTTCTCGCCTCTTGGAAGATGGTCTCGTCGTCCCAGGCCGGGTTCTGGGCCGCGAGCTCCTGGGCCAGTTTGTTGTGGTAGCGAAAAAACAGAACGCCAAACGCCAGCATGGCTGGGTGCTGGAACAGGCGCGGGTCTCCAAGCACTGCAAAGTGGTTAGGTTATGTATCGTTATTTTTTCGAAATGTTGAATTTTGCCAACAATGGAGGGTTATTTCAAAATTAAGATTAACAAAGTCCAACAGGTTGCATCAGATGTTTCACAACAAAGATCATATTCTGCGACAAAAGCAATGAAAATCAACCTCTTCTTCAAAAATTTTGCACCAGAGTCTGTAAGGGCTCATTCCCAATGAAACTATCGTTCTACGTTGATATATCCAACTCCGCTGGGACTGTCGCTGAATGCAATCGGATTAACTGATTTACTTCTGGAAGCTTTTTTACTTCGACATAACGCACACGAAAGTTTATCACCCCTCGGCTTTACGAGGAAGCGTGCCATTCAGTGAATCTGATTGCATTCTGATTGCGACGGTCCCTGCAGAGTCTGGTCGACCTACTTACAAACAATAGTTTCATTGGGAACGCGCTCTAGCTGTTTGGTGGATGTCGTGATTTATTCCCCCATACTCACACCACTGTCTCTCGGGTGCCATCAGTACGTGTTCCCGAGCAGGAGGAGGATTCGCCAGAGGAACTGACGGCGTGTTCAGCACCGGCCACAGACCATCTCCATCTCGAGACTTCATGGTGCCGTTCACAAATGTCCTCATAGCGTTATTCCACACCTTACTATTACTGTAAATGACGCTGCCATCAATGAAGGCGGATGCTCCATTCATCTGAAAATAAATAAATAAATAAATGAATAAATAAATAAATAAATAAAAAAGGGTGGACGGAAAGTCCAGCTGTCGGGCTCTTTTTTTAACCATACTTATGGAGGACGAAAGCAGTGGACGAAAGCAGTCTTCTGGGTCTCCCAGAAGTCAGAATTTTTCAAGTTTACATTGACAGGCATCTTTTTTTTCTGATGGATAAAAAAAATTGATTTTTTGGAAGACTGTCAGAAAATGTCTGGATTCTGTAACTGCATGGTGATGACAATGCAGAAAAATGATTATCTGGATTAACGTTGCGTAAATATCAACGGAATCTATAATATGGAGAAAAGGGCGAACAAGGTCATCCGTAAAATTTAAAAGACAAGCCTGACTATATCAATTACGTCTGAGGATCAGCACAACTGTAGCACTCACGTGCACTTTCACGTGCACTGCCTTGTATTAGACTTTTTTTCGCAAATAATCTAAACACGCATGTAAAATTGAGAAAAAGATGTCATATTGTGCTTTAAATCGCACAGAATGGATGGACCATGTATTGTGTTTCTATTATCTATATATATTTATTTTAAAAAAACGCACACTCTTAGTCTTACAGGCATATCTAGAACATATCTGGAACATTTAAATTACCGAATAAAAAGGTATCCCGGTGTCCCTCACTTACCTGTTCCCTGGGCGAGCCAGGGGAGTGGCCGGATTTCTTGTCATAGGGGGCTCTCAGAAACGGAGTTTTCTTAGTCCCGGTGCACCCGCGGTCATACTGGGCGTCGCACTTAGGGATTGCCACCGGTGTCAGCTCTCTAGGACACCCAGCGCCACTGGCCTTGATACTCTCCAGGCTGACGAATTGACCTGGAATTATTTGTAAAATCTCCTCTGGTTGTGGCTTAAGGCTCAGCAAATGTTTGATCGCTCTGGCATATTTGAGGGAGAGAAATATTTTGTCAAATTTGTACAAAGGACGCAAATAAGAAAGAATGACGACCTCATAGAAAGTATACATAAGATTGTGGTGTAAAAGTTAAACATTTATTTGATTTGATCTTTGATCTTTCCTTGAGCGTAAAAAATTAGGTTTATTTTCTGGGGATATAGATTTAAGTTTATATGACTAGGCCTTCGAATTTTCCCGAGAAATTTGATGACATGCACATGCATAGCGTTGCTTTTCACTTTCACCATCATTTGCTTGTTCTTATTCATTCTTATTTAAACGGGGCCTTGAATTAATACACTGTTGTCACATTATTAAAATAATACACGCGATACATAATATGACGTGAAAAAATTAAAGTCTTAACTCTCACCAAACAGAGCCCAGAATACCGTTCTGTTTTTGTGGGAAGGTAGCCCGGAGACCCCTTTGAGCGCCGTTTCACTGATAAAGCGTGGGTTTGGCCAGTCAGCGCCAGAGGGCTGATACACGCCGTCAGAGTACACAGCCGGGACTTTTCTAAGCAGGCGGGTCCCTAAGTAAGAAGGCAAAAACATTAAGGTTTACAGTATGTCACCAAATCCATTTCAAACACTAGAAAATCACAAACATCAATGTGTGTCAGATGTTTTTGTATCTTAACATATAAATATCATGTTTATGCTTTTATCCTATATATCCTATATATGAATGATATTGTGTATTGTGAAAGGCGTGTTCGTTGAACTGTTACATCATTATCTACGTTATATTTGATATTTACCTGGGGTCCCCCAGTCAGGGTGTGCCAAATTATTATACCACCCGTCCAGTCTCTCGTAAGCAGTACCGCCAACTCCTGGGATAAAAAAGATAATAACGTTGTAAAAGCAACTTAACATCGAAATGTACATGTACCCCCCCTCCCCCCCCCCCCCCTCAGCTACGTCCATCCTGCCTGTTGCCTTAAACTCTGACTTTTATCTTGGGGGGGGGGGGAAATCGGGTAGTTGTCGGGCTTTTTTTTAAGCATACTTATGGCTATTCGAATCCTCGCGTTTTTTTACGCCGAGAGCCTTCAGAAGAAGGGATACAACGTGTAGTTCAAACGGCAAATACGGCTGCCATACAAATGTAGAAAAATAAACAGTTACATGTTTAAAAGCAATAACACCAACCGATTATTTAACATGGCTGAACTTTTGATCACCGTTGCAGATCACTGAACAACTGTTACTCGTTATGTAGGCCTAAATCATATTAGACAGAGCTATCATTGGACGATATGTTTATAAACAGTCGTACAACAGGTATGTCTACATATATTTAATAGTCCAAGGAACCTTGTTACTGGATAAGCTCATTTGGTTGGCTACGTTACATCCCCTTAAAAGTTTCTCCGGGGAAAAAGGACATATTTCAACATTGGAATTTTCTACATTGAAGGACGTACAAATCCTTGTACAGGAACCGTGGCGAGGTGAGTGGCTTAACTTACCGTTCAATAGAAATGCGTATAACAACAAGGTGACGAGCCGCCGTGAAGTCCCCATGATGTATATGGTTTTACCTGAAACTGATGACATAATAAGTGTGTTTACATGACAGCCAAATCGTTCACAATGTTTTTGCGTAGACCCCATTCAGATAGGGCGCATTCAGATTCACAATCGTAGTAGCTGGGTTGGTCCATCTCTGCGGGGATTCTCGTTAAGTGCAATCAGTGGAATCAGCTTAATTGTCTGATGCGCTTCCTCGAGCAGCTCCTGCAGAGTTGGACCGACCCCTGCTAGTACGATGAGTCTATCTGAATGCTCCCTTAAGGCGTGCGACATCTGAACCATAGGTCCTTTAGATTTCTATAGAGACGACGCGCTATTATTTAACTGTTTACTGTAAATTCCTCCCACACTGGGGAAATATCACATTACAGCAAACCAAGCCACTGTTAACTTGTATAAAAGGTATATAGACCGTAGTCTCAATTTATTTAAAAATAAGTACTATTGAGATTTCATCAGTCGTTAATCCTCAGGTCAGATATTCATTTACCCTTACTCATACAAAGAGGAGCACGTCTCATTAAATATAATAATGCTGGAAACATCTTTTTCACTTAATCTCCGTATAATAGACCTACATGTCGCAAAAATATTCATGCGCTTTGTGTCTGTGTTTTCGGCAAACCTGATACACAAGGCTGAATGCATACCGCTAAAAGGTAGTATTTTCGAATGTCCCCTGTAATACAAAATTGCGATGACCCTGTGCCAACAAGTTTTTTGAAATTCACAGTGAATAAGGAGCATGAAATAAAAAGATACAATCTTCCCAGATGACGCCATTCATAGGGGTTCTCTCTACAATTTTTATATAGGCGAATGGAGACCAAACGAAAACATTTTTTTAATATTTTCGCGACGGGTGAACGAATTTAAAAAGAACCATTAATCAGTAGAATCAATCATTAGCAAGGTGAGACCAAGATAAGCTGTAAGATGCACAGTTATTATTTATAATAACTGCTTTATTTTGATAAGAATTTTTAATCTATATACCACCTTGCATAAACAAACACATTTGAATAAACTAATAAAACTATTTTTTTGGCATGCCCCTTTTGTAGAACACGAAGTGAAGAGGGAACATAACTTTTAATAGAATTAATAAACCACACATCATACAAAAAGCGCTTACTTAAATTAGGTAAATATAGAGGCACAAATACTGTTAACAATAAAAAGGTAGGGAGAGGTACATGACGCAAGGTCACATCTTCAATGTCATCACTGACGTGAACTAACGTGTATTTGGAAACACAAATAAAGGTATTAGGACGAAGCAAGGTCGTGCCAGAGTATTTCCAAGATTCGCGTTGATCGTTGGCAATGTATTGATATAAATTGTGCCGCACTCTGGGCACGTAGACCTGTAATTTTGAATAAATACGCTCGAACCGAATATTGAATATTGATTTTATGAAATAAACACGTTTCCTTTGAATGATTATTTTTAAATTCATCAAAGTAAGCTTTCACACACTATTGGAGTAGAGAAATCACACCCCGTTTTCACCCACTCTGTCGCTCAATTTGTCGCGACAATCTGTCATTTTGAGAGATTGTTATTGGCTCTTTTCAACGAAGCATTGTAATGCAAGTATTTGTTGTTGCATATTAAAAAAGAATATGTCTACTGAAAATGGTCTTTAAAAATTCGACTTCCCCTGAAATCTCGTGGATGTTAAAGAAGATACAACCTGTTGGTTAAAATGAAGTCTAATAGATCACTTTTTTCTTACTTTTTCAACCTATTTTCTTCTTTCTGAAATATACCGGATAATACAGTAGTTGGTATCCAAGTTAAGCAGTGTAAGCTTAGTTCCCTCCGAGAAATAAAAAAGTCTATTCTTAAATGGTAAATAAAAATTAAATCTAACAATTCTAAGCATACTGATTGAACGGAGTGATCAAGATTGCGATACTTCTTTCCACACAGGTACTCACCAACGAAGCCACGCACCTTGCGTGTACTTCCTCAGCCTGATTTTCTTTTTATATGTGTTATATCACTGCAAGCGCAACAATTTATACCTTGAAGCACGTTACACAGATATGAAGTCAAACTCTCGCAACCAATGTCTGCGAAGAAATAGGAGTAATAAACAGGTACCTCATACCTCTATTGTGCTTTTAGTTTGCACAAACTTGCGGTGGCATTGTTCGCCCCCGTTGATCATAAATCAAAGGTTCTATTTTCTTTTTACAAGACTGAGGCCTGCAAATGTCAGTAAGGATCAACATCACCGTCAAAGGAAATTAAGTGCACCGTTTAGGTGAAACAAGGAGGTGTATTATTCGTTGGTAGAAACGCTATAAAACTTGATTGACCTCTGTCGCCGCGTTGCCATTGTCCACGGTTTGACCAATAGGGCACCCTTGAGCCAGAAGAGTCACAGTTGACCTGAGAAGAACGCATTAAGTTCTGGACCAATCACAGCTCACCCAAAAAAAATCCCTGGCGTAGTGAAGTGAGTTGTTTTTCTTGACTCCTTTTTGCTGTAACACGTACAACCTTGAAAACATAATTGAAGGAAAGAGAGACAGACAATGTCGTGGCGCAGAGGGTGTGGTGTATAGGCCCTACCGATTAGATTCTGGTAGGTTAGAGCTGGGATTTTCAAACTAGTTTACGGTTATCTGCAATACATCAGTGAAGTCTGAATTATTACTTAATTGGTGACACTGTGTGTGTGTGTGTGTGTGAGAGAGAGAGAGAGAGAGAGAGAGAGAGAGAGAGAGAGACGCACCACACAAGGTATGATTATTACCATTCTGTGTATTATGTTGAATTTGGCAGTATTCAATTATTTGGATGCTGAAAATTTGCTTCCGACTCCTCGCATGGAACCCAAGGTTTTGTTTGCAAACATTCACTTTCAGGCGACGGAGCAGAATTTACAATATTCAGTTCTTTCCCTGAGCATATTGATAAAAAAGTGATCATGTCAAATACGTAGGAATTCACTACACAGAAATTATGGTCAATTTTAGCACTGACAAGAAGCAAAGACGCAGAAAGATCATGACCACGTTCACGGGGTTTCGTAATGCGCCCGGGCCCAGCCTTTACCCGTCTACTCCGTCTGCGGTCACAGAAGACGTCACCCTGGGGGCGGTGATCACGTTGGTCGTAATCGTCGCAATCGCTTACCTGTGTGTCTTAGTGGGAATACCTGCCAGTGAGGTGGGTGTGACATTTTATATAAAAAGGCCAAACAGGTTTAAAAAAAAAAGCGAATAAATAAGTTTCCTTCCGTGTTCCTTCCTTGTGGGACTCTTTCATTAAAAACGGTGCAGCATTCAATAGTGCACAAGGCATCAAAGAAAAGTTGAGCAGCTCAATCTACGCTCAACTGATTACACATTGTAGAGCCACATATTGCCTTTCTAATTTTTTTCATTTCAGCGATTAAATAGTCTTCTCCGGTATCTTGTGGCAGCCACGATCAGTGCCTCCATTTTAGGTAAGCGATATTTTCTTATCGCTATCACAGTGTGAATTATTTACGTTGATCAATGATATTGTTTGAGAGCATTCACAACAAAGTTGATCCGCGGACTAACTAGTCCGCGTATCAAATATGGCGCGCACTTGACAATGGATTCCCGCCTCCCACGCGCACCGTCCCAGCGGGGGCAGAGCAATTAAATTTTGGCACGTTTTCAAGTGGGTAAGGGGGTGGCGCCATATTTGATCCGCGAATTCATTAGTCCGAGGATCAACTTGATCTCAGTGCGCCATTTCATCGCCTGTTCATCTCATTGCAGTGTCGCTGTACGGGCATGGTTGGTATACAGCCGGTATTAACACCAGCGCCGAGTACAAGCCAACCAGCGCCGACAAAGTTTCTGTCAGTATTGGAATGCACGTTGGGTTAAAAGAAGTAAATGTTACGATGAAAGGTAATAAAATACGTGGTTAAATGCTAATATAAATGTACATATTGAATTTATAGAGAATATTCAACATCAGGGTATCAGTGTCTTATTTTTAAGGCTGATTTATCTTGAGTGACATTATATTTTTGCCTTACTTTAGGAATCCCGGAAGAACAACTGAACGAAACTATCAATTACAACGAAGTTTTCAAAATGACTGGAGGTAAGTATTTCCTTTTTTACTTTATTACAGTGAATTTTATTCTGTTATGTAATTGTTTCAATCTAAATCGGTGTTTTTATCACTTGAGTTTTTCTTCTTTAAAGTTTCTTCCTTGAAGAAAGATTTTAAGCAGGGTTTAAGAGTTGGCCTGCCGCTGCCGGTTCTCTATATTGCCGAATACCTCGCCACAGACGCTGGAAACGCAAGATGGGGGAGAAATTTCCGAATGGCTGGGCACTATTGCTATATTTTCATGTGGTAAGTTGTGACTTATTATAACATTATTTTTTAATTGTACCTTTAGATAAAATTTATGCTTTATTTGTTTATTTTTATTTCGAAAGGAGGAAAGAGCGTGGGTGATCTTTGTATTGACTTCAAGTTTCTTATCTTATTTTCAAATCATGATAAAATGTCGCTAATTTAATATCATTACTGCTGTAGTCAGTAAACGAAGTTCTATTAAACCATCTAAAAATCATACTTCACAATTTTTTTTTCATTTAAATAATCTGAAATGCCTTTTATGACATCATCACTTTCAGGGCGGCGTTCGCGGTGTGGATGTTGTCTTGCGTCCTATACTTCATGTCGGTGCGGCGAGGAGCGCAGGCCACCCTAATCACCGCTGGCTGCTTGCTGATGGCTAACGTGGTGTACGCAGCGGTCACCTGGAACCAGCTGGCCATTCCTTTCAGCAATGGGAAGATGCCGGTGGTTCTGGGCTGGTGTTACTGGCTGGCTCTGGCGACAGGTAACAAACCATGGTTATAATGATAAATGCATTTTATGCAAGGTTAACTAGATGCTATAAAAATTAAAAGAAAAACTTCGTGCCCTGTAATAATAGGGACCGTTCACAATTGATTGAATTCCCCTAGCTACTGTGCAAAAACTCCACGGGGACTCTCGCTGAATGCAATCAGATTAACAGACCAGACTTGCCTCCTCTCGTTTCCAACGTACTCGTATAGTCACCGGCTTTTCTGTATGCTACTCAGCACCAGGAGGAGGCGTGTTTTAAGTTAAAGCTTGTTAATATGATTTCAGTCAGTGCGTAGAGTCAGTAGTTAGGATGATTCACTTAAGATATTTTCTCGACTTTCAGGAGTGACTTGTTTTATCTTTGGAGTGGCGGTTCTCATAGTGGAACGGATAAGCCCAGACAAAAACGCCACATTCTTCGCTATCCAAGCACCAGATCAGGAAGAGGAAGAAGAGGAAGTGGAAAAAGAACAGGGAGAAAATGATGAAAATATTGAATGTGTAAAACTTTGACTACATATAGGCCAGTGCTTGCGCCTACGATCTTATCTCTAACCATAAGACTGAAGGCGAAATTGGTGGTTTATAAAAGCCCTGTGTTATTTAAAAGCTATCTTTCTTGAATTTATTGTAATTAAACAGTAAAATTTAGGGGACAAGTGTTCACAAAATCACAGCTACCAGGTACCAATTGAAAATATACTTTTAAACATTCTTAAAAATGTGGTAATTGAAATTTCCCTTCAAGTCTTGTGATCCGTTTCCAGTTTGAAAACGGCCGAAGAAGTCCACTTATTTTTCCTAATAATTAATGTATAGTATGATCAGAAGTGCTGTAACTTTTAAGCATGGTTCTCATTGAACGTTACACGGAATATAAACACATTAGAGCGCCAGCATAATATATGTGTAAATACAGTATATATGTATATCCATAGAGTTCATCTTTCTTTGCTTGTACAAGAAAAATAAGTTTCCTGTCAAGGAGGGGCTTTTTAATCGCAATCATTGACCCGCAAGCCTAACAAAAATATTGGTTCCTAACTTTTAAGTGGCCATAAATAGACAAAAGGTCAGTTTGTGACCACGGTGGTCGATGGCTGACACCTCCTCGAGCGGTCATTCACACGCACCTTACCTAACCAGCAGTTAAATCAACAGAGGAAAGTAATGGTCCGTGTTGTGTGGCCTTGGGCTTAAGAAAATTTTTTCTTGCATAACAGAACGCTTGGAGGACTTATAAGAAATTAATGGAAAATAATATCAGACTGCTTGCAAAATTGTTAGTTAAAATATGCGATACAGAAGACGATTGTATACATTAAGTCTTTTAGTGTCTTATGAGCCCATAGTGCTGGGCGTTACTCCTCAATATGTATTGCGTAACTATACTGACAGTCAATGAAAACGCATCAAAAAAGTTTCTTGTACTTTTTTTTTTTACCGAGAATCGATTCCAACCATATAAACGAGTACAAATGCACTTGTTTGGTCATAAGAGAGTGGGCTGACCACTCGGATGTTTACAATTTCCGCTTCAGTGATTTTGTGATCAGCTGTTACAAAATCATGTGTTTTTCCTGTCACGTGATTGGTGTGAATTAATCAGGTTCAATATATGGTGATTAATTAAGCCTATTTAAGGTAGTCACCAAATCCAGTATGACACGTGATAAAAAAGTTTAGCGATGCCACGTCTGACACTGTAAGAGTGACTGCGGGCCCTGGGGATGCTGGAGGATGGGCGGAACCAAAGAGATTTGATCACGTGACCTTGCATTTTAATGATCTTTTCTGACCTTTATTTCACCTTCACCTGTGACAGAATAATGTGCCATATTTCACACGAAAAATGTTATGTTCTTAATGTGCCAAATTAACTTAAAATATTATTTGATAAATAAATGATGCGTTTTCATTACTGTCAGTATATTATAAATTAACGAATGAAATTAATGAAATATAGTTGACGTGCTTTTGAAGTTAGAACTTTTACGTTAAGCTTGCGATACAGTCCTTACAAGTGTGTAACAATATCCTCTAAAATAGGAAGTTAAATGAATGAATAAAATGCATATACGAAAACCAATAAAAACGGCAATTTTATTTTATGAAAACAGTAATCATACCCATGATGATTTGAATGTTGTGGAGATTCAGTTTGTAAAAGCAATGTTTTTTATGACGTTTTGAGAGAATGGAAACTCTACAAACTGACAAATATACAGATACTAAGCAGAAAAAGGCACTTCTTATTTCACTGAAGCAGGCACATGCCAGTAAAATATGAATTTTGTAAAAATCGTCCAATGGTGATGATTTTCGAAAGGAATTGAATTGAGCTACTGCATTCAAAACGTTTCAATTGCAAGGAACACGCGTTCAGTAATTTAGCAATATTTTCTGCCAGACTTAGTGCGATCTTTTCTTTTCTTCATCTGATAGAGAGCGTATCTTAGTTTTTCTCGCAATGGCCTGTGTGCAGTACATCCATATATGAAGAATTTGTGTAGTGAGGAACTTTTTTGTTTTCAAATATCTGTGGAGTTAAAAAAGTAGACGTGAACAACTCTCCAGAATCACGTGAGCAAATACACTAAAGGTCATAGAAAGATGCGGTTCACCCATCCATGGTAGCCTTATGGTATTTAATACATAAAATGTTTTAATCCAACTTTGTACTCCTACCACAATCCTACCCAAATCTTCAGATTTATTAAAGTTTTTTTAGCTTTCATGTGAAAAAAAAAACTGGTTTACTGGAACATTGTCTGTGGCACTTACCGACCCCCCTACCAGGCTCCTACGCCTATAGCTGTGTCAATAATTCTCACATTGTATTTGCCATCGCTTTCAAAGCCATAGTTCAACATAAATGACCCTCAAAATTAATCATAAAAGAAGGTGAGGGGCAATTCTAGTACCGCAATCAATCCATACTTATATCAAATTGATGTTTCTCTTTAATCCCCATGGTTAACCCAGGCTTTTAAAAGGTGCCCACGTCCTTAAATAATACTAAAACCGCACACAGAGCACAAAGACATGCCGAGAGGGCCCATTAAGGACAAATTCCTTCAGAGGTGCTAGATGCATTTCACAAATAAACAACCCTGTAACCAAAGCAAACTGCAATTTTTTATAATAACCTATATTTATTACTACTACAACAGGATTATAATATAATATGAAGTTTTGTATTGCCTGCTGACTACGACCCCATATCAAAGGTTAATACTTAACACCATTTTCTCGTTCCTTTCTCACAAAAGCCGCCGGCTGAGTGGTGTCAATCCTTTGCAAAAAAATCCCTCTCCATAGAAAATAAAAGTATAAAGAATGAGCTAGAGAAATATCTGTAAATATTACGTTAAAAATCTATCTGTGGCCCTGGTAATGGGTAATTCATTGTTCTGGGTTTAAAGGGCTTGAGGTGAAAATGGATCAACTTGGCACAAGTCTCGAAGTACTGGTCATTGAAGCATTAGCGATTCTTGTAGCTCATAGCATTGGCGGGTTTATGGGGTGTTTGGGGGGGGGATCCGGACCCCCCCCCCCCTTCGATTAAAAAAAAAAAAAACAAAAAAAAAAAAAAGACCAGTGGTCCCCTCTTGAAATTAGAATTTTGAGTAGCTGAATCAAGTGGCACCGTGCGCCCTCTAAAACACTTAAGTTTTTTCGGGACCCTTCAGCAGGCCCCAACCCCATGCCAAGGGGGGGGGGGGGGGTCGGATATGTATCCGCGCCCCCCCCCTTCAAATAATCCTGAATCCGCTCCTGCATAGCATATGTCAACATTTTATGTAAAGCATTAAAAATTTTGCTCAACACTCCAAATGTGATTGTGCAGTGGTGTTGACCCTAAAAATGTCCATATAATAATGTGAATGACAAAGCCGCGGCTTTCCTCATTAAATTTTAATTAAAAGACCTAACTAGGGGGTGATTTGCAAACATGATGCTCGTTTCAAATTTCTTAGCTTGCAGTTTTCACTTGGGTTTTATTTTTACATTTGTAATTTGCAAATCAGGAGCGATGATAAATTTCAGATTAAATCTTGTTGAAAATTTGTGCCTCAGACGGTCACGTTGTATTCAAAGTTACATCGCATAATGGCTTTTGTTAAACAGTAAATTATGAACAGAACTAATTGACTTCAAAAGATAATAGTAATAAGTTTCACACGCATGTTTCTGTCAAAGTCGTTATCCACTCTCATTGCTCTTCACAAGGAACAAATCATTACAACCAGACAATATAAAACAAACAACAAATTACGTACATTACAAAAACCAATTTTATTAATGTAATCATTACACAGAATTCTTTCACTTGCAAAATATTTTTTTAATTGAATTTACTTTTAAAACATTAATGCTCTATCTATCCTCAATACTTCGAGCAGTTATCTTACTATATCTTTGATGACAAGAGGTATATACAAACTTCCCAGATTTTAGATCGATTTCACAACACATAACTATGTCCTACTGTATAATAATGTTAAATATATACAAACTTCCCAGATTTTAGATCGATTTCACAACACATATGGAACTATGTCTTACTGTATAAAAATGTTAAATGTAGAACTTTTGTCAGTTGCATCATAACATTATATGTGGAACTTAAGTCAGTTGAATTACAAGATATAAAATATAATTATAGCCAATGAAACTACCTGCAGGTTGACAAAAAGAATGCCAAATGTTTTCTGCAGAGACTGCTTGGTCACAGTTCTAATAGGTGTATATATTTCTGAGAGCATAAAAGTGATGAAAAATTCTCAATGGAAAGATCACCTATACTGGCCAAGAAAATATTGTGTGAAGAAACACTATTGTTTAAAATACACACAAGTTGTCTTAACTGTCATAGGTAAATAATGACACTGTAAGGTACAAAGCAACACCGAAAATATGTCCACATCAACAACGCACAAAGCAATACATGCAAGGCACCCGACATCACTGTTTGTCAGCATACAATAACATTGTATAAGGGTATAGGGCAATGTTAAGAAGTTATTATGCCATGCATTCAAAGAGCACCAAAATCACAAGGAAAGGCTACTGTCATGGGCTAACATAAGGTTTAAAGTGAAAACCCCTCTTCTATATACCGCGTAGTTCCTTTTGTCAGGTAAGGTCAATGGAACCCCTCAAGAAGACCCAGGCAGGTGGCTGTGGCATCTGAAAATTATACCACCTATCGCAACATGAATGAGGCGCAGCAACTTGCTTCCTACTCACTGTTGCTGAGAAATGTGGCCCAGGATTGGTTTGACAGGCTGTCAGATCAACAAAAAGGCACCATAGACTCCTTAAGGAGAGCTTTAAACCAACGGAGAACCCCAGATGGGTTATGGTCTCGAAATTATTTCACAAGACTCCGAAACCAGACCAGCCAATTCAAGGCTACATTGCTGAAATGAGATGCGAGGCCACGAAAGTCCAGCTCCATACTGAACATACCATTCAGGCAATCCTGCATGGGGTTTTACCTGAAATCAGGCCGTTTGTAGCTTAACATGCTCTGCAGACATTTGAGCACCTCGTCCAGCATGCCTGCCAAGCTGAGACCCAATTCAGCCCTCTTCAGCCATGGTGACACTGAACGCCCTGAGCACCCAATTTGATAAAATAAAATCCACAACTACCAAGATGCCAACATAACCTGAAAGCCCTGCCCAAGCTCCTGTGCAACCAGGCACTGATCGCCAACTTCAATTTCGCCACTGCCAAGGCATTCAGCCATCAGGCAGATACCCTGGTGAGGTCTGCTTCTTCCTGGCCATATTGTTAAACCAAACAAGAACACCAACCTACCAGAGCCAGAGGGTTATCATCATCCTTGGTGACCCAGTGCCCAATCCCCATCTGACTGGAACTGGAATGAGTAAGTGTCCTCAAATAGCATTCCTCACTATGGCTGATCTAACTCCAATATACAGACGCCTCCCGTTGCCACTATGGCCACCAACACCACAATACGACCACCTCATGTACCCAACAGACCAGCACCCTCAGGATCTAGCTCTAACGATTCATCTTTTTAATCTTAATGGACAAATCTAACTTTCAAACTGTGCAAAGGTCACTATTAGACAGATATGGGCCCAGTCCCACAATTAAAGCTATGATGGTTATTCATAAATTTGCGTACCACGACAGAGTAGAAAGTGCTAAGAATGTATCCAAGTAGAGGGAGGATACATAAGATACTGACAACTATGGTCAGTTTTTATTATACATGCGATAACTTTTTTAATTAAAATTGATTGACACATAGCTCTGGCACATTATCACACGCAGTTCACTGCACGTCGCTGTTTCTATGGCAACATGGCTTTGTTAGACAGCAGAAAATCAGACAGCCTAGTAATTGTTTGTGCTTCGACCAACTTACACTGTGCATGGAATATAATTTCCAAAGATATCTTAAAGTGTAGGGCTTGGTCAAGCAAAGAGTATGCTTGTTTTATAGCTGTACTACCTTGTATTATATATGAGAATACTTCTTTGTAAGTGTATACACTGAAGAAGACTTTTTAAGGTGACTACATAGCTAAGAATAAATAGTAGTAAGACGTGCAGAATAAACTTTTTCTTTAACTGAAGATGGGGAACTAATAAAGGACATAAGAATTAATTTTTTCGTTCAATGTATGAATGTGATGGATTATCCGTGACTAACTGTTTACTATTGAACAGTCTCTTTTGGGTGACCCACACATAACATAAGAGAAAGTGCACAAGTTACTAGGGAGAATGTGAAATCAAAGACAGAAAAACACTGGAAGAGAGGTAAATAAAAAAGAATCAATTAGCTTTTACAGGTAAATATTATGCAAAAGAAGTAACCATTTGTTAGACAACTAGAAGGCGAAAAACTTTTCACAGCATACTGCCATATAAAAAGAAGGGACACACACACTGCAAATTCAGCTAGAACACCATAATGATTTTGTTGCAGGAATATTGAAGAGGGCATCCATGAGATACCTATTTATCCTGAGAGTAGAAATAGTAGCAGTGGCCAAGGGCAGCAGTACAGAGACAGAACAGGAAACTCAAAATCACTGGCAGAAATTGGTGTTGCTGACACCTTGTTGGCAAAAAAGATGGTCATCTACAGAAGCATGAACAGAGTAGTACCATTTCTTTGGTACATCATCACAATTTTTTTTCTTTAAAGGTTACCTGCTCCAGTGCCAGATACTTGGCATAAAAAGATAGCTGACAGAGACTATGCCATGATTTTGAAGTATATGGTTGCATTGATGGGTTTTCCAGGAGAATTATTTGGTTAAAGTATAACCACACAAACCATAAGAGTTCAATCATATGTAAATATTTCTTAGACACAATTAGACAAATGGGTTACATATGTCCCGAGGTAGTAAGAACTGAGAGCAGTACTGACAATTCAGTACTAGCCCCAGCTTGGCGTGCAGTGTGTCCTGATAAAGAATGCGCCAAACCATAGGTATGGGAAATCTCCCAGCAACCAAAGGAATGAACAGGGGTGGCCCAGCACCTCCAGCAAGAGACAAGTACCTTTTTAAGTGGAAGGCGTTCCCTTATAGCAGAAATACTTGGGAACCAATTGTAAACCTTGTATATTAATTCAAATAACATAGTGACAAGAGAGAGAAAAAATCGAGCAAGGGGTGTGAGAATTGAAAAGAACATGCCTGGATTAAATTAATAAACAAAAACAACTAAAATTGATATGTCATTACACAGACAGTGCAGTGGGTGCAGCAAATATGATGAAATCCTACTCTTATTGGACAGAATTAAGAATCAATCTGTCCATTCTTAAGAATAACATCAATTTACTGTTATGGAAACCCTTAAAGAAAATGCCCATGAAATCCCTACTTCCTCCCACCTTTCTGTAATTCCCCAGCCAAAGGTCAACGATGATGGGCAGGTATCTTTTACCATGCCCCTCGCAGAGAAAAGAAATCCCCCCATATTGCCCTATCATTGGCAATGCGCCTTCCAGGTTTTCAGCATAATATACTTACAATGCTTTCCTGCAAACCTCCTACACCTGGCCCCGCCCTCCCAGGCGAGGCTCAGTACCTGATACCCTCCCATCAGGAACAAACTTCTCAAGGCAAGAGCTTCTAATCTACTTCAGACCAAGATGTCCTCAAGGCACAGGGCTGTCACCACTCTATCCACGTTACATGGTATTCATCTGATGAACGGCGTCAGAAGATATGACAAAGCGCAAAGCGAGTAGACCTCCATGATTGCATTGTGGCTAAGCATTCCTACAAAATGAAATCCAGACGCTGGTACCTGTGCATATTTTGGCAAAATATACGGATGATGTTTGTTAATTCTTGGTATCTTACCACTGCAAACATGCTGTGCTCAAGGTGCTAAAAAGAGAAATCCTAAACCAACATGTTTTTCAGACAATATTGGCTACTCTTCACATAGGAACCAATTATTATGAGCATCTGAAGAACATTGTTGATTGGGAGTTTTTTTATATTACTGGCCACACCCCTTTTGAAATGGTACATGGAAAACGGTCTTCGCATCTCTCATATCTACCAGGTAGTCGAATACACACCACAATCCTCTTTTGAGCACTTCAGAAACGCCCTGAGTGACGCTCACAGCAAGAGAGACAGGGACAAGTCCAAGGCCATCGTGGCCGACACCATGAAACTCATTGGTAATTCCGGCGACGGTAAAACAGTCACCAACAAAGAAAAGTACCATGACACCAAGTCATGCAAAAATTTGTGGATCTGTCCAAAATTGTGAAATGGACACAGATTCCGCTTACATTGCCTTTTCGGTGGATAGCTTAAAATACTTAATTAAACCTCATATGAGGAAGCGTACAAAGCAGAAAAACATCTATGGTTACTGATACGCCTGAAAACGTACCCCAGATTATTTAAAGCAGAGTGGATTGGTAACAGTATCGTTGGTCTTTGCAGTAAGACATATTACTGCTACAGAGAGGATACAAAGTCCAAGTTCTGCAGATCTGCCATCTGGAGGTAAATAATTTGTTTGTCAAAATGCAGCAAAAAAATTGAGCCAGCTGACACAATAAATGAACAAAGTACTACAAGGCCCCAGCGGACTAATTGTACAAATAACAGCTAAGTGTCATTTCAGCAATCACCAGGTAGAAGACAAAGAAAAACAGTAGAGAAAGAAGCTGGGAGAGAATAAGCGAGAGAGAAAGAAAGAGCACATGCTGTGGTAAGTGGACACTACTGCCACGACCCCTGTAACACCCAACTGACATCCAAATGGAGACGACTCAGACAGCAGGGACTCAGAGGCTGCTGGGCTGTGGAGTAGCATCTTGCCCAGTGCTAACCTATGCCAAACAGGCACATCAGAGGAGGAAGACTTGCCAGACCTAGAGTAACCATAGACGATAAATTTTAAGAAAAGAATTTGAATTATTTTTTTCAAATTGGGCTACAATTCCAGTAATGCTATCAACCAACAGCACTATAAATCTTTAAAATGCATGGAAGGGAATCATCTACGTCACCAATATGCAGCAGAATATGGGAACACACGCAGAGGAAAACTTTAAGACCCAAGTTGCCCTTTGACCGGCCAATCACTATATTACCAAAAAGTTGAGTACAGGAACTCAATCACCAGCAACCAGGACTGTTGATGAGACTGTTGGTCGTCAAAACAGGCGTATTTCAGCCCAGACAGTAAGGAACTGTCTGCAGGAGGCTGGACTTCAAGCACGTCGTCCACACCAGGGCCTCGACCTAACAGCGGTCCGACGTCGGACCCAATTGAATTGGGCCAATGTGCGCTGGACACTTGCACGGTGGAGGACAGTGCTCTTCAGTGATGAATCCCGGTTCCAGCTGCACCACGCTGATGGCAGATGCCGTGTTTGGCACCGTGTTGGTGAGCGTTTTGTCGACGCTAATGTCCTTCGACGGGTGGCTAATGGTGGAGGTAGTGTAATGGTATGGGCCGGCATTTGCTATGGCATCGTGGCAGCACAGACTGCTGAGGAGAACAGGTCACAGATAAGGAGTGTTATTGTCCATCTTGTCCAATCTTCACATAATAACAGGTCTGGTACCTGGAATATGAGATGACCATCATCATTATCACTCGTTTTCATTTTCAATATAACTATCATAATGCAACTTGTATTTTTTTAATATATAAATGCTAGTATCATTTCCATTATTCAATTTTATCAAATTTCTTACAAAGCTAGCATTTAATCTTGTAACAATTTCATCTCTGACTAACTTGGTTAATAACAGCATTTTGGAAAAGACACAATAAGTTCAAATTACCAGTTAATATCTAATTGTGACATGTATGATTGATATTAAGTTCACTAAGACTTACTAGTTATTTAAAACAGCAAGTGCTTCAACTCCTGGCCAGTCTTACAGGTATCATTGCTAAACATGACTGAGGTTTTACAGAATGAGTAGTGAGACTAGACATCATTATCTGTGACATCTAACTCAACCTTTACCTATAATTATCATCAATTTGAAAAGACAATCAGTTCAAATAACCAGTTAATATTTAAATCTGCTTTTTAAAGCATTCATAAATTTCGTCTGAGCTATATAATTGTTGAAGAAATTGTGAATTAGTTGCCATCAATTACTCTTCTAATTTTACTCACTCGTTAGCAAAGGGAACAATTCATTAAAGAGACTTATTTGATGGTATTTTATTTTATTTATATAAAAATGCCATATAACATACATGCTTATTCCATGAGACCAGATTTTTGCTGCAAACATGGCTGCCTACCCTGCATGTTGAGACTACCACCACCCGCCGTGGACTAGTCTCTCCTCATACAAGGCGCAGCTTATATGTGAGGTGTCTTGATTATATCTCCCTGATAAGTGAAAAAATAAATGAAGTTTTGAGATTGATTTACATAACCTAAGTGAAAAAATCCATTTGCTGTAAACTCTGGCGCACACTGTGGCTCATTATCATAAAGAATGACTGAAACTTGAATTTTTTGTTTATTGGTTTAAGAAATCACATATATTTAACTCCAGTAATAGAATCACTACGTGAACTGAACTCAAGTTATACTTAAGCCAAGTTTATATCTCATAATCTTTCAAACTGAAGCATCACATTGTAAGTTAAAACATAAAACACTCAGGGGTAATCTACAGTCTAATAGCTCCGCCATGTTTAAAATGCTCGTCGATTACCCGTTATAAATTTCACTTATTGAACGACAATTGTCTTTAACCCTGACCTAAATTTCTCCAAAATGTCTCAACAGAAGAAAAGGTTTGGATTTACATTTTGTATTCCTAGACCTACCTCCATATAACGTTCTTCTCTCAATATATCTGGTAAATGAATGACCTTCGCTGTCCGTCTAGCCCTCCCTTCGAGGCTCATGTGCGCATGACAAGAATAATATTACGACAATAAGTTACTAGCTTTATCGCAATCAAAATAAAGTAATTATTGAAATCACGTATTTTGCTTTCAAATTTATTTATTTATTATTACATGTTCAAATATGTTGTATAGCACTACTAAGCTTTTTTT